TCAAGAAACAAGAAATTGGGTATAGATCTAGTACTGAGACATGGCGTTATTATGAGATATTACATGTAAAACCTTTAGAACAGTTCCTAGTAGTAGATGGTACGTAATCTATGTTAGACAATATTATACTCATTATTATCGATATTATTATTATGTTATATCCATTAGGCAAAAAGTCTTCTCTGAAGGTTTTAGAATATTCCATACCCCTTAAAAATTACTCACTCATAAATGCAGGTAGAGCTCTGGCACTTGTCTAAATTAAATAGTTGTATTCAAAACTCCTGCATAATTATATTATTTAGGTCCAAATGAGCTTGTGGAAAAGTTTTTAAGTCTAGGGGATTTTTACCCTCAAGCCATTGTTTTTGCTAACATAAGAATTGTGCCAGGCATGTAATGAGAAAGAAATTTCTTGAAGTAATTAATCAGACCAACTGGAAAAGTTACCATGATGGGAATGATTCCAATTTTATTGTAAACTCTTCGCTTTATCCCTAACTGTTGTAATACTGTTTTACGAAATTTTGTCTACTTATCAGGCTACCGAAATCTTTTGAGAAAACAACATTGCCTTTTGAGATTACATGGTTGGGACATATCTTAGCATTTATGTGCAGTAAGTGCTCAAGAAATATTTGTAAGAGATGATTGTGAAGAATATTTCATTTACAGCCTGTTATACTTTAAAAGACTTGAAAATAAGTACAAAATGCTAAATTTTAATATTATTTTCAAGTAACGAAAGAGCCTATAGCAGTGTATTATATAAATCTGTTTGTTTTCTAAGTTTCTGATATGATCTTGGTACTTTAATTTCGATAGGCTAGCCTCTAAATAGAGTATCAACTGACTTCTGAAGATTTTTTGCCTCAGAAAACTGAGAGAGTTCAAGTGGATTGAGTTCCAATTGTTTAATGAAAGACAGGAGGAATTAAGGTTTAGCAGTTTTACGTCCAGGCACAGAATTTGAACATGACCAAAACAGATAAGTTAAGATCTTTTGCCCAGAAAATAATCTTTTTAACAGGCATTAAGCCACCCCTCGAACTAAATGTATCATCTCAGGAACATGAGAGCATGAATGTCATTTATGAA